CTGATTAGCGTTAAGGCATCTCACATGATCATTTCAGAACCTACAACAGGAGAGCTCCCTCTTCAGTATTTTAACATCCTCGAGAAATAATAATAATGGAATTCAAAGACTGTTTCTGGCCGGTGCACCAAAAATATGTTTTATATTTCAAATAGTGATATTATATACTGTAAAAGGAGTGATATAGCACAGGAAAACACTGTACTTGAGTAAGAGCTGCAACAATGACAGAGTTTAAACGCAACGCTCAAATCAAATGACTGTATTTAAGTGGACCGCAAGAGCCAGCTCACGTTCTCATCTACTGGGTGTAAAGACAGCCGTTAGGGTTGGCAACATCCTCAACACGAGCAGCGATGCCGACGCAGTCCTTGTTGCCGGCGGGGTTGGCAACGCCGGCATCAGCCCAGATGCTCCAGGCACCGTCGATGCTGTTGGGGCAGGCGATCAGGTCCTTGCCGCCGAACTGGAGGTGGTTCTGGTCGTTGATGGCCCAACCCTTGCGCTCGGAGTTCTTAGGGGCGGGCTGAGCGCCGGTGGTGTAGCCGATCTTACCCTGGCCTGTAGAGTTCCTGTCAGTGTCTGCTTTTTCCCATGTCTTGAGTGTGTGGACGTGACTTACCCATGCCGGAGCGGTCGGCGAAGATCTCCTGGGGGGTAGCAGAGGCGGCATAGAGGTACAGGGAGCCGTCTTCAATGTAGAAAGTGGCGCTCTTCTCGCCGGGACGGTCGCAGCTGGCGTTCTGGGAGTTGAGGCCGGCAAAGATGCTGCTCTTGGCAGCGCTAAAGGGCTGATACTGGACGGCACTGCCAGAGTGGATGGCGACGACGCCAAAGTACTTGTTGGTAGGGGCAGAGCAGGCGGCGGCGGAGGCAGTGGCAGCGGCCGAAGCGGCGAGGATAAAGCTCTTGATCTGCATTTTGTGTGGTTTGCAGAGTGTTTGAGAACTGAGAGTGTTCGGAACGGCTGTGAGTGATTGATTTGATTTGTTGTTGATGATGAATGTCAGAGAGACAAGGGTAGCATTGAGCCTTTTATACCTTCAAGGAGATCCTCGACATCCGAGGGTTTCCATGCAGACGAGGATACGAAGGCAGTGACTGCGCCAACTCCGCCAAGCAACTGTCTAAGACATGCAGCCTATTCCGCGCTGGAGATGTGGTCGTGCCTTCTGTGCTCCATTAACCAATGACTATATTTGGTTCTTCAGATGACTTCAATAGTGGGTCCCCTGCCTGAAATATGGGGAAATGACCTCAGTTAATCTAGTTGCGATGGGTCTCTGGTCCTGGAGGTAATAATCAGCATATCTATACTCTGTTACTATTGTTATTTCATCCTGATATACGATCTCATATTCTAGAACAAAACACGCAGAATATGACTGTTACACCTTGAAGAGAATTTTCCGTCACTTTACTACGTACCTGAATCCCCCAAGGCAATGGCATGATTGACGTTTATAGTAGTGGCAATACATTGCGGACCCTCCTATTCAGTAACTCCACATGTTTCTCCCAGCTCCCCACAATAGGAGAATCAGACCCAATCAGAGACCAGGGAATTATTGATCTTAAGACATCGGTTTTGGCGTTGGAACGGGACTACCGGGAGATGCCCTAAGTGGCTAATGCCCACTCCATGCCCAGTGGCGGCGCGATTAATACGGAGTAGGTTAGAAGTTTCCTCGTCCCCAGAAATCGATCACTGTGAAAACTGTGGAACAGACTTGGTGCTGGGACAGGTCTAATATTAAACTTGAATGCTGGGCCACAGTGCTACACCGCCACTCCCTGAAGATAGGGGTCGGTGGAATTTCCAATGTTCTACCGAGGGCGTCCCCGGAATGAGAGACACTCGACTGATCCTAGCCATGCACTAAATACACTACGCGTTGATCACCAGCCATAGTGTACATTTTAGTCCTTCGAGCTCATCTTAACGTCAGTCGAGGAACCGCAAATATTGACTAAAAGCATTCTAGAGTCAGATCGTCGCTAATATTATTTACATAATGGTTATGTCAATTGTTTAAACGTTCTCTCCGGCAATACTGCGGTATGCTCTCTTACACGTCACTGCCCGGTGCATATGCCACAAGAGGAAAAAGTGCTAGGGAATCTTGAAGAGATGGTACAGAGTAGTTGTTGATTATACTGGCTTTAAGAGAGCTAGCGATTTGGGGCGACAAAACGCATCCATCTTCGACTTTCAGGTGCAACAAATTTCGCACCAACGGTGGCTACCTCGACAGCTGCAAAACTGCGCAAAGAGAGCTAGTTTTTGTCTCAGGGGGTGTCTTAAAGATAGTACTTACGCTGTAGCTGCTGCAAACGTGCCTATAGCTATTCTTTTACTATAAATACCCGCGCAGACTAGAAGGCTAAGTTGCACGTGGCGATAATGCCCGCCTAGTAGTCGTGCTCAATAGGACATCCGGAGAGGCCGGGAGAAGCCGGCAGGCCATTCGAGATGCCGACGTTGGTCGTACCTTGAAGAACTTGACTTTCTGGTCGCTGTATCACCAGTTGTGGGCTTTGTCGACTCTTGTTGCTGTCTTTGGCTATTCAGTTCTCCGAGAGATGCAAATGTGCCTTTCTCTGAGGAGGGAGCTTTTTCCCTTAAAGCCAGGGGTGGATTATCCGTACATCCATTGACTGCAGTGATCCTCCCTTTTTCCTTTCAGATAATTCAACGAAATCCTTCTTACTCTCTTTCCTCCTAGATCTATTTCGTAGGGTATTCCCACAACCAATGTTGCCTCTCGATCACTCTGGCGAGCAATTCTCGACAGACTCCTGTGTCTATTTCGCACAGAGAGTTGAGGGAATGAATGCGTGCTTATTATAACAGGACATTATCTCTACGAAAGTGAGATGTTGCCTCTGCGCAATCTCACTATCCGAAGATCCGAGCTCGCGGGTTTTCAGGCTCAGCTGGTGTCCTGGTTACCTGTCATGGGCTGTCATCAGTGAGTTTTCAAATACCACACGGAGAAAATACATCTGTCTGCTCTCGTCTCATAGTCATATCCTTGTCGATAATATGACCAAGCTTAATCTCCAATGCAGCCATTCAGCTTCAGGATAACAGAGTCTTCGCATGAGCCTCCCAAATCGACCAGTGGTCGAATTTGTAGAAAGCTATCGGCGCTCCAGGTTTGTCGCGACCATGCATTGTCTGTTACTATAGTGTATCAATTGTACTATGTGCAATGTTACTAATGGATGGAAATGCATAGGTTCTTTCCCCTGCGTCCAGATATAGAACCACATCATCCCCGCCGTGGTTTGATCGCAACCGACGACCTTATAACCAGTGGCCAAACTGCAAACTATACATTTGGAGGAACTTTGACCGTGTAGGTACCATGATGCATACTTGAGTCTGCTTCTGCTGCTTTGTACCTCGGCAGCACCTTACCACGCAGAGGCATGATACAATATGAGATTTTCTACTTTCCATACTCGCTTCCGGCTTTCCAATAAGATTTTTCATCCCTTCACTGGGTTCTTTCTAATGTTCCTGCCATGTCAAAGATTCAATAGCACGTACACCCTTCTTGAACCTGCTCTTCGGGTAGAGTTGGCGAGAATTCACTTCTATGAGAGCAATTCATCGTTGACAATCTCAGAGACTCGTTCTTCAAAGGGCCTTTGATCCCTCCCGTCATACTATTGTGTAATTGTCTGAGTGTCTGAGTGTCTGGGTGTCTGAGTCGGGAGGGATGGGATGGCGCGGCCAGGAGGCTGCACGGATTACATTGCATTATTCAAGCGAGGCACCGCAACCAATCGCTTCTCTAACCGCCTTAGGCGATCAGATTGAGACGGAGATGCGGTGGCCTGCCTAAAAACTTTCAGGTGCCTTCAATCGCGGCATGTAGACTAAAACCCTGAGATGGCCGGACTGCAACTGAAGTTTCGAGGGAATTATATCGTAAACGCCAATGGCTGTAGAGGTAGGGCCGCAGTGCGTAGACTCGGGTCGCACACATGTCCCCGAATATGCAAACGAGCTGCGATGTGTCCTGGCTTGCTGCTGCTATTCTTACTAAACAGTCATACTGTGTAACCAGTTTTAAATTAGGAGTAGCATCGAACCCTCCACGTCGGCCACTAGAAAGTTTGTGTTCATAGGTTTTGGAGAGCTGCCCCAGATCCTATTCGACCTTGGAACGGTGCCGACTACAGGGATCTTGGATTCCTCTGAGTGGTCTTCTCGTAGCATGCTATATCGTCAGGCTAATGTGCCAGTATATGGTTTATTTGTAATGACAGCTCAAGGTTTGTTGACCTTGGCTTCTTTAGCTTCATGTACAAGAAGATATATTTCCCACGGCACATTGGTATACTGAGGTTCATAGTCAAGCAAACTGAAAATCACGGTCGAGAAGCAGAATTTGATAAAAATTGAGAACTCAAGGCACTGCTATTTGAATAAACAATGTAAGTTCATGTTAATGAGGACCAAGTACGATGAAAATATTCTGAAGAGGTCATGAGGATTGTCGAGCTCTCCTTTGGGACATGTAACAAAATAAGGAAAAAGGTCTTCAACAAGGCCTGCTGGCCCAATGGTAAGGCGCTTGACTACGGATCAAGAGATTGCAGGTTCGAATCCTGCGTAGGTCAATTTTTGTTTTTTTAACCCCGCCCTATATTTACTATTTGTCTGCGGTTGCCGCCTTGTTCCACCAGAAAGGTGGGTATTCGAACTAGAGCCAGAGTAAAATTCGCTAGTCACCAATAAGCGGCTGGCACTATTTCTAGACTCCTGTATCTCAACGCCTTTTTTCCGTAAGTGCTCAGAAAATGTGATAAGGATTCCGCATCGTCGTGCTGATCGCGAGCAGCGCAGTCAGAGAAGGAAAACAACAACAGGTTTGACGTGCGAATGAACGTTCGTTGGTCGGGGGCCGTCGAAGTAAATGTCTGCAAACCACGTACTGATTGGGCAGCCCCTGACCACAGCTACAACGTCCGATCAATTTCTTAAAATGGTCGCTGAAGTCCACGCTTCCGCCCTTCGCGGCCATCTGCATCTTCATCATAGCAACCCCTTTCTGCCCACTGGGTCCAGTTCCAAGTACCTGCTCGCCAAACATGCGCAGCTGCATCGGCATCAAATGGTTTCCGTAATGCTCGACAACGTCGTGCTTCTCCACCGCATATCCAAGATAGCTCCAGTTTGCGGAATCCGTGCCGTACCGGACGCATTTCTCCGCTTTGGCTGGGGTCCACCACCTCGGAAGGAGATCGGGTTTGCGTTCAACGCGCTTCAGGAAGCGGCGGAAGCCAGCGCGTCCGCCATCAGTCGCCCCGGCATAGACGCTATCCGCCTCAATATCCCCTGTGAACGTGTAGTCGTCGTCTAACCGGAGACGGTAGGTGTCGATTAGTAACTTGTAGGTATCGTTTTCGGTGCTGTCATGGAGCCAAGTCTTTGCGTGGAGGCGATGAAACGGCTTCAATCTCTAGGGCTTTGGTGGATTGGGTGGCGTTGGCGTCAGTTGCGGACTGGCTGCCAGAGCCTGCGTTTGCTTGAGCATTGCTGACACAGACTTTCTTGTGAGATCCCAGTCGGCTTTCTGGAGTCGCGGGAGCAGTAGACAGCCGATTTGCAGCGGCAGCAGTTCCTCAAGGGAGCACTTTCAGATTCTGCCTTTTTGCAGCTCTGACATTTGTGTGTCACGATGGGATTGGAGTCAAATGATTCGTGACTGTAGCAGGTTCAGTGAGGATCTTGTAGAGGACGAGATTGGACCTTTCTGCTGCTCGCTGATGGAAAACGTGGAGAAGATGATTATAGGAAACTCCCTAGTAGATAGAAGGAAGAGGTAGAGTAGCGGTGAACGAGACTCTTTTACTACTTAGAGTTTCAGCATGTTGATTTCTGCAGGTAGAGAATGATCAATGTATTCAGTGCTGGTGATTCGAGCGGCGGTGTACCTGGCTGGAATACAATTGTTATGGTTACAACGGAAGAATCGGATCTTTTGTTATGAGCCTAGTAGGAAGCCTACACGGAACCCTTTCATGACACCAGACAAACCCTATTATGCTGTGGACGTAACTGAGCTTCATCTAGAACAGGAACACAAAAAACAAAACAAAAAAACAATAAAAAAAAAGACCTACAACAGCTGGGAATCGCTGGTGGTCAGCCACCCAACTACTAACCAGCGCCGATTTTACGCCAAACAAATACTCTATAGTTTGTTCGCGATTTTCTACAGTGTAGCTGTGCTAAATATGGCAGCAACTTCATCGTTGGGGGCCGGGGCGGGGGGCGTGACAGGACCCCGCAGCGGCGCCCGGGGCGGACAAAAATTCTTGTTTTTGTGGGGCTATGCCAAGTTGATAATGAGGTCATTGCATCCCTACTTTTAGATTTGTAGTATAAAAAGGTATCTTGCCCGTTTTCTCTACTACTTGTCACGCCTAATATCACCCTGGAAGACACGACATAGACACCTTACCATGACACGCACCTTGCTATTTTGTGTTGCGGAGGAGGCCAAGCCTGTAAGTCCATGTGTGATTGGTCAGGGACACATTGTTAGCAGTCTGTCGGACTGGGCTGAATAGTTTCAACTGTGTATTAGTAACAAAATGATGCTGACTTTGGTTATTAGTTTATACCTAAGGTCTTGCGTGAATTTAATACAGAGAAGGATGCCCCTCCTCTGTACTATCTTGTTGAATCGAATATCTGCCCGGACAAGCGAGAGGGGTTTAGAATTGAATTACAAGATGGCGAGACTTTCAATTCAGATTTCATCAACGCCTCTAAAGAGAAATGCCAAAATTGGGCACTAGACAAGTGGTACCAAGCTAAAGTTAAATTTATTGAACCAAATGTCATCGCTATCGCAGATGAGCGAAGCTCTCGAGACAGGACTCTACTTATGAGCTACTACTACCCGGAAGTTAGCCCGGAAGAGCCTACCTTTAAATTTAATGGATGGGGACCTCTCCCTCCAAAGGCCAACACCTGGTACGACTTCAGAATTGATCATCGTGCAGCTGATGATTTCCATGGCTCTCTTATGTGGTTCTCACGGGAGTCTGCCTATCCAATCTACTTTGGATGCCCAGAGAAATTTATGGATGAAACTGGCGTCTTTGATGTGTTCAAAGCAGTAAAATATATGAATGGTGAAGACAGTGATGAGGATGAATAGAGCTCTCTAGCACCTTTCATAATACACCAGCTTGTAACATTTCTGATTCCAGTATAATAATAATACATTATCCTTTAATTTATTTCTAGATAGTCACTTGTACTGTTTGCTTGTTATTTATACACAGTTTACTAGGCACACAGCATGTAGATACCATGAACTTAGAGAGTAAGCTACATGACACACGTTATCACTTTGAAAATTGACACATACTGCACGCTGCGAAGGTCAGAAGTGTCGAGCAGTCCTAAGGATCATGGTTTTGAAGCTTCCATATTATACCTTGGTGTTAAAGATTATTATCTAGCTACTATATTCACTAATCGGGAGCACATACCCACGGATGTAAGTCAATTTGACGATGAGCTGCCAGACTACTACATATATATGCAGCTCGGCGTGTAAATTCTACTGCGTTGAGAGAAATGCGAGAAGGACTAAAACAGGCGAGAAAAGATCAGTTTCAGCTGACCCCTTTTGGTAAATATATGAAAGCAATTGATGCAGCCCTTCCAGAAAAGCATATTAGGACTCTATATCATCAGCTAAACAGAAAATAAGCATCTGCTCTCGCACAGCTCCGGACCGGCCATATCCAACTGAACCAGCACGTACACAGGATTAGGCAGACAACAGATGAAACCTGTAAATGTGCAGAAGGTCCAGAGACAGTTCAGCACTTTCTTTCCAAGTGCGAGCCGTGGGAACCGCACAGGAGAGACATGAGGAAAGTGATGGGTAGTCGATACGGGGATCTATCATATGCACTAAGAGGTCGATCGAGACAAAAGGACCTACAGGGCAGGAAACCGATGAGGAAAAGAGTTGGAAACCAAACATGGAAGTGGTTAAGATTGTGATACAGTTTGCTATAGCTACCAGGCGCTTGAAACACGAGAAATACAGCTAACTGGTCGCAGTGCTCCTGCCCAAATACCCAGGCGTAACACAATCAATCAATCACTCCAGCGGGCCAGCGGCCTGTATAGGGACCGTGCCGTCACACCCTCTGTTTAGATTGAATTAGATAAAGCAGAGTGTCCGTATCTTAAGTATTCCGACCTGCCTAGTATTACTGAGGATATTTCATATAGGGAGTGTACAGATCTCTTAGAGACATTATTTCTCGAAATACTGTACACCTTGTGCACGCATGGCCACGTCTACTGAATCCGCATGCGTCTAGAGTCTCGCCCGAGACTGTTGCATCTGGCTTGCTGCGTTGCACCAGTAAAGGTCTAATGTAATGCATATAGAGCTGTATGCAACATTTCGAACGATGGTACATTATACTAACTTTTCCTCACTCTTGAGAGTATCCATAATTTAGCGCGGAAAACCAACTGGGACTGAGCACTGCACCAAGCCACAATTAACCTAACAAAGTACTGAATGCCCGCAATTATTGCTCTTTGCTGTAAAAACACGCCTGGATCAACTAGTAACTTAGCAGTACTCTTAATAAATATGCCGCTAACAACCGAGGTATCATGGCTACAGATGGTAGTGCATTTAGGAGCGACCGTAGTTGCCTCTATATGAACCAGAAGCTAGTCATAACCTGCATGTAACAGTGAGCTGGCAGGGCTTTTCAATCTCTTAGCGGTGAGGTCATTCTCGAGAGCTCCTAGTAGTCGGTGTGTCATGGCCGCTACCCGTACTAGATCTGGAGAAAATGGTTTGCCAGATCTCTGTTCAAGAGCTCGTCATCGTCCACGCGTCAATTAGCACCATCTTCGCTAGGGTTGACTGCTGCATGCCCGTAACGTTACCATGTCGGTGATTTGGCACAGAGAAACAAAAATGAAATTCATTCGCTGTATTGATCCTGGTGGGGTGGGCCCAGGCAGACATATCTTGAATGTAAAGCCTGTTCGAATGAAGGGCAGGAATTCTGCTAGTAGTTATTCCTTGGGTGGTCATTGGTCGGTGGACCAAAGTTGCTGCGGCATCCTGGATTTGAGGTGTTGCTAAAACAAGTTCCAGATTATCGTATCTGATTCTCCCCGCGCTGTGGGAAATACTGGTTTGACGCGCCCAGAATTGTTTGCAACAGAGCCACATAAACAGCAGCACAGGTGCAGTCCCAAGGTCATATGGCGGAGGTTGGTTAACCCGCTTATTTGCATTTAAATTACATACTTCCCCGCAACACCTGAAAGGCCTGAACTAAGTACGATTTATCGGGTTCTGCATAGTACAGATTACCTTGTATCATACCCTGGTAATTGATCAGCTGGAGCGAGCTTTACAGATCTCAAAGGGTGTGCGTGATAGGTCCAATCGCCGTTTCTAGACCACTCAAGTCAATGCAAGGCGGAAGACTCGGAACCTATGGACATTAACTAATAGAGTCTGTCCCCTAGCAGATATCATGTTGACGTGGCAAGTTTTGATCTGTGCAACAAAATATTGTATCTGCAGGCCGTAGATAGAAGCCTTTACAGGTATAGTTCGCACCAACTACCTGACGCTAGAGATCTAGCCCCTTAGGAGGATTTCTCGTTTCAAACATTCTTTTCAATATATTAGGTCCCCCAAGTACCTGAATCCAAAGCACAAAAAGTCTCCCAGAAATCTATTACCTTTTCATTTCAGTTATCAAATACATCTGTTCATCATTTGCTCCCCAAAAGACGCAGTCATGAGTGACTACACGGAAAGGCTCAGGGAACATCGCGATGACCTCAGTAAACAGGTCCATGAATTGAAGGAACTTCTACGCCGTGAAGCGGCGAAGGATTCTGTCGAGCGTGCGGAAAGATACCAGGCGCGGGGATTGTGCCTCCAGGTTGTGGGACAGGCGTCTCCAGAGGTAAGGATTCAACCCTACTTTAGTAATTCCAGTGGGCTTTATTGGTCCTGTCCTACTAGCTACTCACTATACTAGGACCTGTATGTTTCTGTGAATTATATCAAGAGCAAGTTGGCAACGTTCTATATCGCGGTGAGTTATAGGAATGCTTTATCTAAAGCACCCAAAGCTGCTAGAACTGAACACGGCATTGAACTTGCATAGGACAGAAACTATGATGGTAAGCGACTAACCCCTTGTCATGTAAGGCATCAAGGCTGAGAACATTTTTAGGAAAGCTTACCATTCAGGAGCTGTTGTCGGTATATGGGCCCGAGCAGAGGGAGGAGATAGAGAAATTCTTCAAAGAGAAGGATGTTTCTAGAGATCAAAAGCTTAGTCTTTCTGGTGAGAACAGCGTCACAACATGATTGTCACTGGATACTAATTATGTGGCTAGAGTGGTTCATCATCGGTGTACTGGGTACCTGGTGCAAACCAGGAAAACCCTGGTGCAAGCAGGTCAAGGCAGAGTGAGTAGTGTGACGGCTGTGATCACATGAGCTGGTCAGGTGACTTGATACTGCTGATATTGGGGATGCCCCACCTCTTCTTCCTTCTCCCCATGTTTGATATTCTCGTTACGAGCTGCCAAAGTTAAAGAATACTTAAATACGACGATTCTAGTTTGAGCCATCACAAGTAGATTAATTCGTACTTTAAATATGAAGGCTATAACGGGTAATATGAATTGTTAGCAGACAGAATTAGGGTGGGGCAGCATCCGCGACATACATTATGGGTCAAAAGTTTGTGCACACTCAACTTTTTCGAAAAAATCGACCATTTTCAATCCCATATTTCTCAACCACCATATAATTGCAGTATAAAATAATAAACTACAGGATAGTAGATATTAATATTTAGTGTACCAGCCCCTTGCTTGATATACTGCACGCAATCTACGCGGCATTGAGTGTATGAGACGGTCAATCACCTCCTGCGGGATAGCATTCCATGCCTCAATAATAGCATATTTAAATTGCCTCTAATCAACCTTTGATCTACCTCCTAGAAAAAGTTCAGGATAGAGTTCCAAAAGCTTCTTCTTTAAGAGGTTCTAGAGGTGTTTAGTTAGGTTTAAATCAGGCGAATGAGAAGGCCATTCCATTACCTAAATTCCATGAGATTTAAACCACTCCTGCGCCTGCTTGGAAATATGGATTTTAGTATTATCTTGTTGGAATATACACCCAGGCTCATAGATTGGAAGGAGGCCATCTTCAAGGCATTTTAGGTAAGAGGCTTATAGTATAGCCTCCTCAAGGTGCTAATTCATCATGATCCATAATGATCAGGTTTGAATGGCCACCAATCCAGATTACACCCTATATCATCTATGAAATATCCTTCTCATGGTTCACTAGATTGACTAGATCATGCCGGTATGCCTCATTTGAGAATCAGAAGACAAATTAGGTGGAATTATTTAGCTTTCTTTAGATAGAATATTTATTAGAAAACATTACTTCTTCCCATTAGGGGAAATCTAGCCACACACACGCAAATTTATACCATTCTTTAGCTATTTCTAGTCTCTTCTTGCTCTTCCACTTCTTCAGGTTATATTTCTTTAAATATGTTAAATAGTTGACTTAGACACCCCCCCAGGGGTGCTAGCGACCAAGGCATTCTAGCTTATAGAAGGCCTTCGCCTTACCATCTGGTAGATGTATTATTTAGTAAAGGCACTAAGCTTTTGGGGTCTACCAGGCCTGAGCGTTAGAGAGCCTTAGTGGATGATGTGGGGCGGGTACAGGCCCGATTAGGCCCAACCCGAGCCGGTTCGGGTGCCAGGTCTAAGGATCACTGTATCCACCTAGGCGGTGCCGGGACTGGGTTACGCGCTCATAAACCGAACTTTACAGTCACCCAAATCTCCAACGATCTGATGACCTTAAAATTCAACCGTCTAGACATATGCCTAGGCCATACCTAGCACATATATATATAATGCTATATCAATTATATGGTATTCTGGTCATTCGAGTATGTATCAGAAATATCAAATTCATAGCGGGTGTAGGATCAGAAGTACCAGACCATATGGCCTTCGGCCCGTAAGGGATATGACGTCGGCTTAGTCTCTTTCAGTGACAGTATGATATCCTTAGCGAAATTACCCCTTAGTGTCAACATCAATGACAATTTGGAATAGCGAACTCATCAGAATTGACGCTTTGTGGATATAGCACTGCCTTACTTCGGCTAAGTCGAAATCATTTTGCGTGACTGTAGCTGCTCGGTTACAATAATTATGCGCATCTGACGACTGTCCTGAGTTTGCCACATAGGTGCCAAAGGTCCATGCTTCTAGATCCGAAGACCACCAGTGACCGACAGACCAAAGCCAGCCTCGTCTAACAAATCTCGAGATATGATCTATACCCTAATAACGGTGTAGTGAGTAGATGTTTCCCCATACAAATTATTGTTTCCTGCATCCCCACACACGGTAGAGTCAACCAATGTCCACTCTGGGAGTCCACATCCACCCCATCTAGAGTCTACATACATTGTCATTGCTGCTGAGTCCACGTCCACTCCATCTAGAGTAATTCATGCACGTCATTCTTTGCCCCCTAGAGTCTATATCAACATTGGTTATATAATTCCTCCCGAAAATGGAAAAAACCTCCTCACTAACATTCTATTAACTTTTTGGTGAAAGTTGAATGCTCTTAATCAATGGAGTATTCATCTATAATTCATGTTTATAATCTGTTTAAATGTTATCACACTAGGACTTTCGTTAAGTATTTAGTGGGAGTGAATATCTGTAATGGAGTAGTAGTCTATGATGCATATTTAATGAACGATATTTGCTTCGTTCTATCCCAGTTGGTCAAGGTTTCGCTTAAGACTGCTGTGCCCCTGGATTTGTCCCGCCTCCCATTGGCTGAGCCGATCGGATCAGTATATGCTCCCGTCTCCGAGGTCCGTGCCTCCTTCCAGCCAGGCTGCCTGCAGTTTTGTAGCGCCCCAGATCTTCTCTGAGAATACGCATGAAAGATCCACATCAGGCACATTGGATCACATTATGCTCCCTCCCTCTCTCCATCTCTTCCTACTTCTTCATCTTAGAATTAATCTTTATAAAATTCCTCGTATGTAGTGTCCTACTTTTGAATATAGACCTTTCCATCTGCAACCCAACCTACCATGTCTGGATCTGCACAGCACCACTGGCAGAATGTAGTCTCTCTAAGGTCCAGTAATGTTATGCGCTTGGTCGAGACTAATACTACCTACCCCGCTGGAAATCGGAGATCTTGGTAGAAGCCACCGCGTGGAGACGAGTCTATTGGGGTTGACACATGTTTTGGTTGTGTCATCCGGAGCACCTGCCGAGGTCTAGCTATCCGTCAGAACCATGCGATCGTAGGGCCCGACTGAGAGTGAACGTAGACACGAGCACGCCGGATCCATCGTACACGAACTACCATAACAGGGGTGATCATACGGGGACGGTCGCCCGGAATCGGGGATGCAACTATTAATATAAAATGGTAGTATTCTATTCGACCAATTGTATTTATCATATGGCTATCTAATTCAACTTAGTAGAAAGGTCTGATCTCCTATACGACTTACATTTTGCCTACCTATATTTTTGTAGGAGCTCGGTGAAGCTGTTAAATACTTGCCTCACTGATCATTTCTGAATATGTCGAATCTCACACATAATCTTCCGAATAGACGTGGTTTATATCAACAGATGCTTTCACCTCTTCTTTAAGTGGCGCATCAATAAAACCATTACTTAATTAGCTTGCTGAGCCCGGCCGCCTTGTCTCCATCGTCTAATCCTGCAGTAGTTTTGCGGGGCATGTTGCAACCAGTTATTCAGGCAACTAAGCGAGAATGCTGGAAGAGGTGTGATTCTACGGAGTACTTTATGTAGATATGAGCACTGGGCATTTATATCTCTCTGATATATCTCTCTGTGGTCCCTTAATTCCTATTATTATCTGAACGCCCCTTCCTCCGTCTCCTTTCCTGTTTCTGTTTATTCTTACCGAAATTGACTTGGCCATTTTCTTGAGATGCTGTTCACTCCCATTGTTGGTGCATCACTGCTAGCTGTGCTTGGCACACAGCCAGCGGGAGTGCTGGCCCAGGATGCCGAGGGCTGGTACAAGGCTCATCCAGGCATGGCGCGTATCAGCCAGGTGAACCAAGACACCCATCAAATCGTCGATGAATTCGGCCGTACGCGGTTCTTCCATGGAACCAATGTTGTGATGAAGGAGACACCGTGGTATCGACCGTTAGAGTGGGTGCCTGGTGTCTCATCTTTTGGCGAGCAAGATGTCCAAAATCTGCACGACTTAGGTCTGAACATTGTGCGGTTAGGCCATAGCTGGGCCGGTGCAGAACCTGTGCGTGGGCAGTACAACCAGACGTTTCTAGATATCATGAAGAAGCAGACCAAGATGGCCGAGGACCATGGCCTCTATGTTTTGGTGGACGTGCACCAAGACGTCCTGGCGCGGCAGCTTTGTGGCCACGGCGTCCCTGACGTAAGTAGATGCATGGCCATGTTGGCACAGCTGATACTAACACGGCTTCGTAGTGGTTTGTTAAGAAGGACTGGGTACCAAGCTGGAAGAGGTATCCCTTTCCTCTCAAGCTGACGCCGTTTCCTGTGGATAATAACGGGTTCCCATCGCCGCAGTCGCTTTGCGGCAGCGTCGACTGGTCTCTGAGCTACACGTCAGTGGCCGTGTGCAATGCGTTTGGGCGATTATACAACAACTACGACGGGCTGGGCGATGCGTTCGCGGCATACTGGAAAAAGCTGGCGTCCGAGTATGTCGAGACGACCAACGTGGTCGGGTATAACCTGCTGAATGAGCCGTGGGTGGGCGACTCGGTGGCCGATCCGACCCTGCTAGTGCCAGGTGTTGCCGACCACAAGGTCCTAGAAGGCCTCTGGAACCGCGCCGCCAAGCAGATCCGTACTGTCGACAATGACACGCTCATCTGGTTCGAAGGCGCCACCATTGACATCTTGTCGGGTTTCAACAACGTCCCCCTCGGGGACGGCTCGAAGTCAGTGCACTCATTCCACTACTACAGTCCGCCGCAGTTGTCATCTATTTCCACCACGCTCAACAACCGCCGCAAGGACAACGAGCGCCTTAGGACCGCCGGTGTGCTGACTGAGCTCACGTTCTGGATGGGCGATGATAAGCAGATGCAGGGCCTAGCAGATGCCATGTCAGCGACCGACGCTAATATGGTTTCCTGGATCGGCTGGGCGTACGAAAATCTGTACAACGGCACATCTGGTCAGCCTTATCCTGAACTGGCAAAGCACTACAGCCGTGCATACCCCGCCGCCGTCGCAGGCGCTCCCAATAGCTTCAGCTTTGATGAGAGCTCGGCCACCTTCAAGCTGCAGTTCACGTCTGATCCAAATATTAAAGCTCCCACTGAAATTATCCTGCCTCCATCGACGTTCCCCAACGGCTATAAAGTTCAGGTTTCGCCTGACGGCAGCTTGCTGCAGTACGTACTCGACAAGCGTACCCTGGCCTTATTCACATCTACTAGCATCAAGAGCGCCACCGAAATCTCTGTCACAGTCTCTCGTAAATAATGTCATCTATACATACTCGTAGTAGTTGAGTTACTCCGCTACACTCTACGTAGTCAAATTGCTGATCATGAATCAGATTGACCCTATCAAACATGTCAACTGCCTCGCGTCCTTTGTTCTCTCTATCCGTTGTCCTAGATGCAATTAGTGGATTAGTGGTCTATTAATCAAGCTGCCACATCTGATAACCCACAGTAACGGCATTAGTGAATTTTACCTCCATAGGCACGGTTAGGTCATCAGAGCTTTACTTTTGTCATATTACTTGCCTTGTAGTTCCCGGTACAGGCAGGGTCTATGACTGGTGTCTGTGAGAAGACAACTGTCTTATATCCTAGGAATGTCGTCTTATTGCAAATGCTGGTAAGGTCAGTGAGCTCTGTTCCTTCATGAATTCCGATGCTAGTCAGGGGGCAGCTATTTGGTTCCTAAAGTTACATCCAGCTCACCCTGTAAAGACATCCAAGGCTCTTCAGCTGCATGCTGATGATGGGCTCGGCTCTATTGCATGCTGGGACATATTGAGGGCTCCTGGGATTGGTACAGCACTCCTCGGACATAACCTGGATAGTCGAAGATGGAAAACACTTCCTATTAAACTATACAGTGTGACTAAGGAGATCGCAAGCATAATATATAAAAGCTAAAGAAGAGATTCGTTAGGTATCTAGCCATCCTAGTATAGATAGACGGCCTCTAACTAGTCACAGAGAAGATCAAATACTTCCAGCAATTCTAATAATGTGAATAGAGCCAAGCCAGATTAGTAGGGGCCATCAGGCATATGATGGGACATGACATTGCATTATTATCTGATTGTGACTGCTTCGTACTATTCAGAATCATCCCTATTTTTCAAGTTGACTATGTCAGTGCCATATCATGTTAGGAGCAAATATCAACATGAATAATGTTATCTAGTTGCTCTGCGAACTGTGGCATATAGTAGTATATAAACTTCAGAAAATAGCTAGTAGAATCGAAAAGCTAGTGGAAGACACTTAGGTTTTTCTTAATGCTTTTAAAGACTATTCCTGATTAGAAAGAGTTTCATTACTCTATAGGCAATTATGACTATATATAGAAGAACTTGAATAGAATAAAGATTTAGTTAAGGCAAAGCTTCTATCTTAACGTAAGGATATATAGAGTTAATAAGCTGGATTAGACCAGCTGGAAAAGTCTATGATTAGAGGATGCTGGATGCATTTAAGAAAGATAAATTCTGCCAGGGTGATAATAGTGCTGGACTAGAAAGACCAGTCTGTCATTTAGAGCTAACAAGGATTCTAAGCTCTGATCTAACATGGAACTCCCGCGTCCTCCGGTCAGATTCAGAGGCTGAGGATGAAATGAAGACGGTGATGGATATGTTTGACGGCCAAACTAAAATGCCATGCTCCGCATCTGATATGTAAGTAGTCAAAGGAACCACATTTATGGACATATACTCGATGGAAGCCGGAAAAGCGACCGGAGGAGTAAGTGTACATTAATTGCTACCAATGGAGGCAACTAATGCTGACATCCGCATCACTAATCACCAACGAGGTTGATGGACTATTATGGTGTAACGGTTGACTGTCTTGTTCCCCCTGATGGTACTAACCCCGAGGCGTTACAGATTAACATTATTGAGATCGAGGATAACAAAAGTGTTTACGCAAATAAATGGCTTTTATTTGCAGTCGATCCAGCTGATTTTATCAGGAAGAAGGTCTTAGCTGTGCTGAGATGCTGCCAGAAGAGAAAGGGAACTCTGGATCGCTGGCGAGTGAATGCACTTGTGGAACGGCTGGTTCATAAGTGTGAATAATCAAAGAGTGCTGAAGAATTAGAAGACTGTAATCAAAAGGGTAGACCGGATATTATTCTACAATGCTAAAATGAATGTCTAGCCACCTGGTAAGTTGAGTGGTTTAATAGTTGATAAAAAACTAGGAGCTAGCTCTACTCCATACTTCATTTCGCTAGGCCCCAGAATTTCAATAACGCGATTTTCTATTATATGTCATTCCTTGCTCCTCAACTTGTTAAGGTGTTGACCTCAATTTTCGCCCAGTTATCTGGCAACGCGGCCTGTACTAAGATAAATATTTAGTGTGTGCAATGACCATATCTTGTCAGAAAGGGATCCTGAATTCCGGCATTCCCGCATGGAGCAGAACCACTAGCGTGCACGTGTTCCCGCACCTATCATCCACAGGATGTTTGCCCAAACAACCTGCCTTGATTCTTTCCTCAAAACTGCTAGACGAACTCCGATGGATTCCTCCGCAGATGGCCCATTCTGGGGCCGCCAGACATCCTATCTCAAGTAAGTGTTTACTGGTATCGAGTTCTTGGATTCTCTGAACTGACACGCTTCAGCTTCTGTGAAGAGGTACGCCCGGAACAATCCCGCGTCTGCCATGCTTAAATCCTCTTCCAAACGCTAACCCTTGACCTGTTCCCAAATAAAGGACTATGTAATAACCCGGTACATTGCTGAATTTATAAACACGTTCAGCAGCTTGATATACAGTACGTTTGAGAAGAATCTCGGGAGTCCGGGAGTCCGTAAACATTGTCTCATAGCCCACTAACAACCTCGCCAAGTTGTTTACGGAATTTACGGTCTGGCGAGGCTCTACCAAAAGCGACATGCCACCCTTAGCCGCTCAATCCCTTACTTTGGTCTGATGGGCGTGGGCGTCTGCTCGGCTGGCTATCATATGACCCTGAAATATCACACCCAAATGTGTATGCACCCCTGCCTGACATCGCTGCCGCCACGGTTGAGCTTACGCAGAATTCTGTTTGTTTCAAGCCGATGAATTATCAATGCATCTACTTGTCACGCCTCTTCTCTACCGGATCTTTACTATCCAGACTAGCCCGCAGCACACCAAACTCATAGGCATCCTCTTCCTCACTGAATTCACTGTTGTGATGGTGGTCCACATGGTCATGAATGAGTTCCTTCTCCATGCAGTGGCCTTCGGGTTGGGGGTCCTTTTGATCGCGACACAGACAATCAAATTGGTCTCCCAGCGAGTCCCGGATCCTTTCACTCGAAAGAAGTTTCGTAACATCGGCCTCTTTGGCGTCTGTACGTTTTTACTTCCTCCTCCATCGGAGACAACCCCCCGATTAATAAAACTGAGAATGAGTTCAGGTAGCTTCATCTTCGGTTACATGGTCTGGCTGATCGATGCGTGGGCTTGCAATCCCCTGATTCGCATCAGACACTCGGTCGGCTTGCCCTTGGCGTTTGTGTTCGAACTGCATGGATGGTAGGTTTCGTTCCTAGTATCATTTCTCCATGGGATTCTAGATCTAGAAGCATGAGACACTGATTCGAGAAATCAATCCAGGTGGCATGTCTTCACCGCAATTGGTGGCTATATCGCGGTGGAGGTTGTGGACATGATCACATCGGGTGAGGTTCACGAGGATCCAACAGATCAGCTTGCTTGGCCCATTGCCGATGTGGCAAGATTTATAGGGGGAGCACCAGGGACCAAGAAATCGAGTTGACCACGCACTTTTGGTGGAAGAGTGGCTGCTGTCGATCCAACCTCAGTGTGCCAGCCCGAGTACTCCGTCCTAGCCGAAAGGCACTCATAAACTCATCACGGACCAAGCCATGACTTTCGGATTCATACTTCCTAACGATAAGAATCGGAAAATATGATACATGATACTCAAAGTTCAACAGGTTACAGAACATACAATAGCCCCTTGCTGGGGAGATATTTGCTTTGGCAGAGCGGCAGGTTTCTGGATGGGAAGTTTCAATGCCTTACATATACTTAGAGTTCCTCTGCTTAGCCCGAGCAAAGGTGAAATTAGACAACTGCACTTATTTCGCAATTCCTCACGCCTCTTCATAAATTCCTTGGCTCATGAGTGTTACACCTTATCAATATCTTCTCGCTTCAACCCTCGCACAGGAATTCCGACATCCTGTGCGTTAGAAGCCTGAAAAGCCATTGATTTGTTCATCACGAACTTGTGGAATCAGTCAGACACAGCCCGTTTCGGCCAAAATACCATCCGCTCGTCGTTGCCGTATTGTACCCTCCACATTATCATGTAGCTTGAGTGGCGCGTAATCTTACTCATCAGATCTTGGCATTAGCTACCTGATAATCACTCTAATTGCGCGCAAAAAGGTACAAATGCCAAGATAAGGGCCTTGCCGTTCTTGTTTTAGCAGTGCGCAGTGCCGCCCTTATAAATATCAGCTCCCCGCCGACATTCCCCAAAGCCAAGTCAAGCACCCTCTCCAACCATGTCCCTCCAATCTCTCCCGGATGAACTCCTACAAGGAGTTATTAATAGTCTCTCTTCTCATCGTGATGTTGCTTCACTTTCCCTGCAATCTCGCCGCATATATCACCTGTGTGAGATGTCCACTCGGCGTAAATACCGCCGAGTAAGGCTGCGAAACACCTCAGATTTTACGAAAGCTTTTGGGATGTTACTCTCAATCTTAAAGACACCCCGACTGGGTTTATATGTCCGTAATATCCAGCTGGAGCGATCGCCATCATTACGCTATGAGGTTGTGGAGAGCTACCAACTACGCCCTGCAGAAAGGGTACTAGAATTTGATGACCTGGTTAGGCTTGAAGAAGCCATTAAACAGCTGGGGTTTGAATCGGTAGAAAAGCAGGAGAAAATTTTGAATATATTACTACGGGATCCTGCTACCATGGAGTATGGCACCCTTCTTTGTCTTAACTTGTATTCTGACTTGAATTAGTGACAACGACCCACCATCTCCATTTCTGGCTCAGGCACTGGCAGCCCTCCTAGTTTCCATCTCACTTATGCTTGAGTCACTTAGCTTTTGCCCTGTGGGATATGAGGAGCCTAAGCTCTTGAGAATAGAAGCAGAAGCTGATGGCGAACCACTTCCCATAGTTGACTATATATTCAAGCATTTTCTTGAACTAGTCTGTGGGAAGAACATGCCGTTTTTACAGAACCTCCGGGCTGTTAGATTCCTAGTCGATCCAAATACCTGTGTGTATGCAACATCAGACTATCAACCCTATGACCTATTCAGCAGTCTAAACCTAGTGCGACGTCTACCCGCGGTGGAAACTGTCCATGTGGATGCTATTTCTGATGCTGATCATCCCAGCGTTGAGCCCCCACCTCGATCAGGAAATTATACCTGTATCTCAATTCAGCACTCCAGCCTTCATTGCCCATACCTGGTATTTACAATTGAATCAGCAAAACGTCTGGAAAAATTCACATATGGGATCGGCGGCCGCTTCTCAAGGAATGGTATGCTGATATCCTTCCACCCAGAGTGTGTCTTTTGGGCACTTTTTGCTCACCGAGCCTCCCTGCGCCAGCTGGATCTTGATGTAGAAGGGCAAACTCGTCTACTAGACCGTATTGGTGTGAGGTATCTGATGTACACCATAGAAGAAGAGGAAGAGCAAGAATCCCTCCGGGATGATCCATTTTACCTACATGAGTGGGCTGATGAGCTTAAGAAACTTCCTGTGAAGGAGGAACAAATACCTTCTAATATGTCTATGGATGCTTGCTCTCTTCGAAGCTTCTTACAACTGAAAGATCTCCGTCTAGGGGTTCATATCCTTTATCTTTATGCTCGTGGATATGGTGGTGAACAGTGTGATGACGAGTGGGGTGACCAGCTCGTTGATGAATCTTTTTCCCTTGTCGATCATCTGCCGCCGAATCTCGAGTCACTTCGCATATATGGCTACAAGAAGGGAATGAAGCCGCGACTGAGAGGTGTTCCACAAAACTTCCTTGAAGACCAGCTTGCTAAGCTGATGGCGGAGAAAGATCAAAAGCTCCCACGACTTGCCGTTATTGAGGGTATCGAGGAGGCGATCCCGAATGGTGAGACGTTGGATGGGCCCGGGAATAAAGATAAGTTTTGGAAGGGGGAAGCAGATGATGAATGGACGGATTATGAATATGAATAAGGCTTGGTTCCTATACGCTACCTGTATGCTATCCCATTTCTACGAAACAGGATCGCTAAGTTTTCCCTCAAGCGGATATAGGCTTGATTAAGATTTGATACCCAAAGCCAAGTAATCAAAAAGAGGCTTAGAGACAAATAGTTAATGAATACATGTGAATTGACAAATTCCATATAATTCAGCGAATATCGCTCGCCCCTCTAAGCAACTACCCTATGTACTCCGTATCATTCTTCTCTATCTGTAGATTCTATTTGTCTGTTTGGGCAGGCGGATCGTTCGCACTATCATCACCAGTATCTGAAGCTAAACCATCGGTGCTGAGGCGAACTATGGTGTCCAGGCTACTTCGCATCCGCTGAATGTCTTGCAGAGCGCGAGTGGCCGTGATATTCAAAATTCCAATCCAACCCCTGTCAAGTCAATCCAGCCAGTGAATAGTACGTGTCCGCGTTGTAGGTCACCATCTCCGAGAAATGATGCCGGACCCATGGACCCTAAGTTGGGTGGATGTCAAATGCCTGATCTGGATGCTGTAGATTCCATGCACGATTAGCAATCCGGTATTGTTCCCGAACATTATTTAATATCTGCACGAGACAGTCCATACCCTGACCTCTATCCTTTCTCAACACCACTATCTGAGAATTGTGAGAGTCTCTGGGCAATATGGAACCGAGACTACCCCGCCAAAGCTACACCTCATTAGCGATATGATACCAAGCGAGTCACTAACTCGTTCTCAAATGGCTAAGGCAGCAGAATGCAGCAAACAGACGATCAAAATATCCGCAGGAGCTTGCGATTGTTCGGACAAAATCGCCTCTATCGCTGCTGCGACCCTAGTCTGTTGTGAGACTTAGCAAGCAATGTTACGGTATAGCGAACTACGGCCTACAGCTCGGTAACGTTTTGTAGAGAATGCGAGGACCTGTTAAATCGACGCCGAAAATGACCGCTTCAGGTTAACCACCGGCATATGTAGCTTTGCATATCGGGCCAAGCACCGCCTTATCCCAGCATGTTCCGGCGTGCCGCACCGGACCGGCCTCTAGTTGAGTCTTATCGCCCCACCACATCCGGCCACCCAGGTCCGTCTTCCAATCATCGATAAGATCTACAAGAGTCTGCAGATGCCCCAGCGCGGCAGGCTGACAGCCTCTCGGTCGCCTGAGAGCCAGGTATGACGCGAAAGTGGCCACGAAGACGGCTAGTATGGCGTATACAATCAACCGCGAGTATACCATATCAAACTGGAATCCGTGTTTGAACAGGTCTTCAACATGAGTGGAGAGGTCTTCGACAGGAGTGGAGGAGAATGATTCGATGTCTTTGGAGGGCTCCATGGTAACGGAAGGGATCAGGCTCTGACCAATTATCCAATGCAGCACCGCTTTGGCTATGAATAGAACGGCGTTCTCCCAACTCGATACAGCTGCACGGATTGGGTTCGTGGCCAACTGTGCCCCTGGGGCCTCTCTTGTTTCACTGTAAGCCTGTCGCCAAATGCCTTCATCTCTGGACAAGTTGACGAGCAGCTCCAAACAGTGCAATGCAACGGTCTGACTAGCTTGAATAAGACAGACAAAGAGAACGCAAAGTACAGCCTCGGCACCGTACGAGAACGTTGCGGAATTAGGATTGTGGTCATTCGCATATGGGGACAAAGACAGCGTCACATAGTTTCGAGAGCACGCCCAATTTATTTTATTCCATTTAAATTCAACTCTCCAGCATAAAGGTTCAAAGCCCTGGCCAGCAGCACTGGCGTTGCCGATGGACTTGGAGACAGTGGCGATGGCGATAGGCCACGCGATGGCCAGAAGAGCGAGTGACCACAGTAAAGCGAGAATATATCGCACCATGCCCTGTAATTGGAATATATTTCCTTGTCGATCCATAGGATATGTTTCTTGGCTTGGCATTAGTCTCTGGTGAACTGATAGCATACACCTCCCGGGATGGTGAGCGAGGTCACCATTCTGCATCACGGCCGACGCGGTGTTGAGCGGGTTGGAGCTCCAGGTCGGTATCAACTTGTAGCTGGACACTAGGCACCATACGGCGATGACGGCCTGACCGGCGAGACCTAGACCCAAGGCTACTAGAGCTGTGGCGTTGATCAATAATGGAGATTGGTCTTCATTCTCAGATCGCACAACAGACAGCAGCAGAACTGATGAAGAGGCGTATGATAGCACCAGGCAAGTTAGGGCCACTAGGTTGATGTACCATTTGTTCGGGCCGAATCGTTTGGAGCTGGTGAAGAGACGGATATTGGTGTTGAACTCCAGACGTTCCTCGCGATACAATGCCCAACGTAACGAGACGGAATGCACGAACATCATACCATCAGTGCAGAGTGCTAGTATGATGTTGATCGCTAGGCCCATGGCTTCTCTTCCAGAAGTAGAGATAGAGGCCGAAGCGCCGAGTGTTGCCTGGTTGGTTCTGAGGAGGTAAACACCGGATATCAAGCAAAGAAGGGAGAGAATCACGCCTGTTGATACGGCGGCAATGCATCCAGATCTTGTAGCGCTCGCTGTGTCAAAATCCCGC